GTTCTTAAGTTGAATCTGTATGTAAGTCGGAACTGGTGTCCAGACTGATCAGTTTCAGCAGCGGCTGAATCTGGACGCCAGTTCCGACTTACATACAGATTCAACTTAAGAACAAACCTACAGTCCCTATCTTGTACGTAACCCGGGGACTGCCTGTAGTTACCAGCATGAAATTGTCAAGAACAAATCAAGCCAAATCAGTCTCTCTCTTTTTACAGGCTTACTGGCCTAGTGGGTAGGAGAGAAGCTGTAGATGTGATCATCTTTATTTTAGTAAGTAAGGCTTTTGAGAGTCATACACTGTAGTTGCATAAGCAAATTAGGGAAATGGGCCCTAGATGAAATTATAATGAAGTGGGTTCACGACTGATTGAAAGACCGTACTCAGAGTAGTTATTAATGGATTGCTGTCAAACTGATGGATATGTCTAGTGAACAGGAGTCTGTTCTAGACCTGTTACTGTTAAGTCTTTTTAAATTAATTACTTGAATAATGGGGCGTGCGCAGGAGAGGGTGCGCAGGGCCACGGTCCCCTTCAAAATCAGCAGGGGCACAGAACTCCTGGTCTGGGCTGCAGCAGGGAGAATGATCTCCTCCTGCCATTGGTGGGGGCACAGAATGTGACCCTCCAAAAGTGGTCAAATTTAAATACTTGTGGATGACACCAAGCTGAGCAAGGTTGCTAGCACATTGGAGGACAAGATTAGAATTCAAAATGACCGTGGCAGGTTGAAGAATTGGTCTGAAATCAACAAAATGATGCTCCTTAAAGAGAAGTGCAATGTACTACACGTAGGGAGGAAAGATCAAATGCACAACTACAACATGGAAAATAACTGGCTAGATGGCAGTACTGCCAAAAAGGAGCTGAGGACTATAGTTTTGAAAAAAAGCTAATTATTCAGGGGTGTATGACCGGAAGTGTTGTATGTAAAACATGGGATGTAATTGTCTTGGCTCTATTTGGCACTGGTACAGCCCAGCTGGAGTATTATGTTCAGTTCTGAGTACCATGCTTTAGAAAAGATATGGGCAAAAGAGAAGAGTCCAGAAGACAGACACCAAAATAATAAAAGGCTTAGAAAACCTTTCTGAGGAAAAGTTAGCAAAAACTAGACACTTTTAGTCTTAAGAAAAGAAGACTGGGAGGTGGAGAGAGAGGTGATAATCTTCAGATATATTGAGGGCTGCTATAAAGTGGACTCTGATCAATTTTTCTCCATGTGCAGTAAAGTTAGGACTTGAAGTAAACAGTTTAATTTGCAGCAAGGGAGACTTAGGTTAGATACCAAGAAAAGCTTTATAACTAAAAGGAGATAGAGAAGCACTTACTACACTTCCAAGGGAGTCTGTAGCATTCCCATCACTGGAAGTTTTTAACACCAGATTAGACAAACACCTGTTCTTGTTTTATCCAGTGGGCTGGATTAGATGACTTCTCATGGTCCCTTACAGCCCTCCATTCCTGTAATGCGATGTTAAGGGAGAAAGGGTACTAAAACCTGATTACTGTATGCTTGTCAAAATAATAGATTGTAACATTTCAGCCTGAAAAAGGTAATTACTTTTTGTTTCCAATTTTTATGTTTTGTGGTTTAATAAAGGCAATAATAACTTTCTTTCCTTCTAAGCTATCAGTACTGGTGTAAAGACACCTGCCTTATAGTGAGCTCTTCAGTATTCCAGCTGTTTACTCTTTGCCAGGAAATACCTTGCCTATAAGTTGTTGCTTGTGGTTTGATTCTATTCAAATTATCACTTTTAAAATGTAGTTTTGAAACTTCTTACATTTTTATGAATTAAGGTAAGCTATGTACCATGTATGGTAAAGCTCAGTAAAACACTAATAAGACTTCTCACATAAATACTTGCAGCTGAAAACTAAAATATTTTTTGAAAACAAGATTTTTTTTCAAAGGAAACAGACGATTTATTTTTCTCCCCTTCTGTTCTCCTTCCCCACTTACAACTAGGAAAGGAAGTGAGCGGGGAGGAGGAGGGAGGGAAGAGAGGAATTAGTTATTGACAGAAAAATGTAACTTCCAAGCAAATAGGAAAAAAATATTGCATTTGAAATTTTTAATAGAAAACACATCTTCAGGGCTGTTTGGAAAAGTGATATTACTGTGATAGTAGGTAATCAACAGTTTTATACACAAAAGCCATGTAACTGTTATTTGGGGAAGCATAAATATATTTTGATATTTGCCAATTTACAGACTTGCTTTGTTTTTTACATTTAAATTAGTCTTGAATTGAATAATTTTTGCTGTTGATAGGCTTGCCAATTTTGGTTGGATGTATTCCTTGAGGTTTCACCACATGACATAATCTTTAATTAAAGATTAATCTTTCATACCCAGAGACTCCAGGACAATCCTGGATGGCTGGCAACCCTAGCTTTTGGTATTTCAGCAATTTCAGGTTCAATCAAAAGAGGCAGTTCCCTCAAGCAGTTTTGCTTAGATTAAATCAAGAAGTATTGGAAATCTTGTGAATCTGTGCTCAAAAAATCTGCATAGACATTTGAACCTTTATAGGCTTATTCATGCCTTTCAGGCTTTGTGTATTGTCACTGATGATGGAAGGGAAGTGGATATTGTCCTGATCGTAGCTGAGGGCTTGTCTACATGCCAGGATACTGTGTGGCAAGGCAGGGTATGAATCTGTAGGACTCTAGCTTGCTTCACAATAATGTTCCACATGGACACTATTACAGCCCACAGAGTCCTGGAGTGAGGCTTAGCAGATTTCTACTTCAAAATACAGTACACAGAGTCACACTACAGAGTGTTCATTGTGTTGTAAGAGTGTCCACGTGGGATATCACTACAGGCAGTCCCCGGGTTACGTACAAGATAGGGACTGTAGGTTTGTTCTTAAGTTGAATCTGTATGTAAGTCGGAACAGGCGTCCAGATTCAGACACTGCTGAAACTGACCGCCAGTTCTGACTTACATACAGAATCAACTTAAGAACCCCAGGCGTCCCCAAGTCAGCTGCTGCTGAAACTGATCAGCAGCTGATTCCAGGAAGCCCGGGGCAGAGCAACTCTGCCTGGGGCTTCCTGTAGTCAGCGCTGGTCAGTTTCAGCAGAAGCTGACTTGGGGACACCTGGGGCAGAGCAGCTGGGTTGCTGCTGGGTTGCTCCAGTAGCGCTGCTCCTCGGTGCTACTGGACCAACCCAGAAGCACCCCATCTGCTCTGCCCCTGGCGTCCTGATTCAGCCGCTGCTGAAACTAACCATACAGACCAATCGGCAGCTCCCCAGCTGCTCTGCCCCAGGGTCCAAAACAAAAGCCTGATCTGCTGGGGGGGGGCACACTAGCTGCGCCCCCCCCTAGTTCGAACTAGGGTGGTTAATGTAGGCCAGGGGTCTCCAAACTTTTCAGCCCGAGGGCCGCATTAACTATCAAACAGCAGTTCGGGGGCCGACTACACACTTGAGGTCCAAATAAAAAACAATCAAAACATGGATGTTGTTTTTAATTATTTATTTAATATTATTTTATTCAGTTATTATTTAATAACACATTGATACACTACACATGAACACCTGTATTAGTGTGAATGGTGAAATTGTTTCCTGGATGCCAAAATAGACATTTCTGGCTTTAGATTTGTTGTCCCTAACATCAACAGTGACCTGAGATTATCATCGGACAAGTTTGTTCTCAAATTGTTCTTCACGTATTTCATTCTTGAAAATGTTTGTTCACACAGGTATGTTGTTCCAAAGATTGAAAGGTACCTTGATGCAAAAGTTTTGACATTAGGAAAGTCTTCCTTGGGCAAAAACTGGTAAAAACCCACCAGTCCTATTTTGAACTTGTCCCTAAGGAGGTCATTTGCTTGCAACTCAATGACTTCCAGCTGCAGTTCATCTGGGCAACTGGCCACATCTGCTTCAAATGGGTTTTGAAACAATCTCACTTCTTCTGCCTTTGAATCCAAAAAGGTCTCCACGGGCCGGATGAGAGGGCCTCGCGGGCCGCATCCGGCCCCCGGGCCGTAGTTTGGAGACCCCTGCTGTAGATCAATGGTCTTCAACCTTTTTAACTACAAGATCACTCTTTCAATTTAAGTGCACTGTAAGATCTACCTCAAACCCAAATACCCTTGCCCCACTTCCTTCCCACCCCTTCTCTGAGGCCCTGCCCCTGCTCCACCTTCTCTGAGGACTCATCTTGTTTAATTCCATCCCACTTCCTCCCTGAACCTCATTCGCTTTCACCAGGCTGGGGGAGGGGGTTGAGGTGCAGGCTCTGCTTTTGGGCCAAGGAGTTTGGAGTGTGGGATGGAGCTTAGTTTAGGGTGGGAGATTGAGGTCCAGGAAGAGTTTCAGGGTGCAAGCTCTGGGAAGGAGTTTGGGTACAGGGGGACTCATGTCTGGGTAGGAGGTTGGATGTAGGAGGAGGTTCAGGGTTGGGACAGGGGTTCAGGAAGTAGTTTCTGGCTGGGCACCATCTCACAGAGCTGGCTTCACGGGAGTGGAGCAGTGGAGTTAAGGCAGACTTGCTCCTGCCCTGGCGTTTCATCACTCCTGAAAGTAGCTGGTGTGTACAGCAATGGCTCCATCGCACCACATGCTGCCCCTCATCTGCAGGCACTAAGTCCACAACTTCTACTGGCCATGGTTCCCCAGTATTGACCAGTGGTGTCTGCAGACCAGGACAGCCTGTGGAGACCCCCTCCTCTGTCTCTCGGGGGGCTGCAGGGACATGCCAGCTATTTACAGGAGCAGCAGTTACCACAGGGATAATTACTCCAGCCGTGACAGGCTTGGCATTTTAGAACTCAGTACTCAAAGAATCAAATGTAAGTGTAAAAGCGAAATGAAAGTGATGGAATGCACAGACCAGTCAAAACCAAAAATAACCCAGTTTGCAAGCAGGAAAAGAAGTAGCAGCAACAACCCATGTATGTGTTGGGTCAGGAGATGTGAAAATGACAGTGTGTGTTTGTGAAAATGACAGAGACATACACAGTGTGTGAGTGACAGATTTGCATTGCCAAGCTCCCTCTATCTCCTTCTTTCTGTGTAGAGATGATATACAGAAGTGGGGGGAGGAGGGACACCCTGACATCAACGCCTCCCTTTCTGCCTTCCACACCCTGCACAGCAAGCAGGAGGCTCCCGGGGGGCTGCTCCAAGGCCGAGGGCAGGAGCAGCATAATAGTGGGTGGAGCAGCAACTGAAGTACCAGTGCTTGATAGCTCCCTGGCCAAACCAGTCAGGATCACCTGTCAGAGGCTCCAAGATCTACCAGTAGATTCTGATTTACTGGTTGGTGACCACTTCTGTAGATTGATATCCGGGCTTGCTGAGCAATGATTTGTCATGCAGACAAGCCCACAGTTGCCTTTAAAACAAAGGGAGTGTGGGGAGGGCAGGCCCACCGAAAGGTGAGGGGCAAAGAAGACAACTACCCTGGTGCTCAGCAGTTCAAATAGCTCCAAGGATCTTGGCTACCACCACCCTTTAAAATCCCTTTAAATCACCACTGGAGCCCAGCATGAAGTGCTGCAGAGTCCTGGGTGGCACGTCCCAGATGGCACTTGAGCAGGTTGCATGGTCCACGTGGTGCTGAGGGCCGGCGGCCCCCAGCCCTTTTGCCTGAAGCACTGCCCCTTCTTAGGAGCACAGAGCCGTGTCCCTCCTCCCTGGCCAGGGGGTCCAGTAGATTGGTTGGCTTGCCTGTGTGAGGGAACACAGGCATGCACTCACACACAATGTGCTATAACGATGAAAGATCAAGGAACAATTAGAAATGTATTATGAGATTATTTTAGACTTGCATTATGGTTTCATTCCAGCAAAGGAGTTAAGCACATCCTGAACTTTAAACAGGTGAGGAATCCCATTAAAATAGGACTATTCATGTACTTAATGTTTAGGACACTTTAAAATTCTTTCCTGGAATAGGTCTAAATTGGGGGTAATGTCCTACAGAAGAGACTTGGGAGTGTGGCTTATCCTGTAATCATTGCAATTATGGTGTCCAGTGCATTTTTATCACTTTATCGGGTATCTTCAAACACATTTCTTGTTTACTGCTTGGCTTTATTGGCTTTTGTCTCTTATGACTAGTAATGGTGCTCTTTGGTGCTTAGGAAACTCCAACTCTGAGCCCCAGGGAATTAAAGTGTAATCTTATTAAATTGATAGCTTAGACTACAGTCACTACATCTATTCAAATGGAAATCCTGTGTGTGTTAATGTACAATAGATGCTTACTTATTGCATTGTTTTATATTTGTGTTTGTTTTTCCACCAGATTGGGGCTTATTTTAGCAGCATATTAGCAGAAAAGCTAAAGCTTAATACTTTCCAGGACACAGGAAAGAAGAAACCACAAGTAAATGCCAAAGATAATTATTGGCTGGTTACTGCTCGCTCTCAGAGTGCAATTCACAACTGGTTCACAGATTTAGCAGGAAGTAAACCACTGACCATTTTAGCAAAAAAGGTATAAACAGATTTTTCACTCTCCTTTTTTTTTTTTTAATGTTCCTTGGATTTTACAGAGTTAGAATGTTTATGTAATACTTTGTTTATGTTTATGTTGACCATCTCTGCATGTATTATTAAAAAGGGACCTGATCTCATTCTGTATCAGTGCCAAAGCAGGCTTTCTACAAAATTATTTTAGTAAGGGTGTAGATGGATTTGGACTTATCTGTATACATAACTTCGGGGAAATGTTTTTTCTCGGTCCAGAGATGTACAGTAATGGGAAAATTAGCATATTTTAGGGTCCCCACTGAAATCAGTGATTTTTGTCATTGACTTCAACAGGAGTAGGATGATGTCTTTTATCTTCTTATTCAAAAGAAAAGAGGGCAAATTCCCAAACACAGTCTAAACTGTGAAGGCCTTCATGCAAACTAGCTACTTTGCTTTGGCTAAAGTTAATCTTGGGTAACCAGGTTCTCTATATACACACTTAAATGTTTTCTGTCTCATTGCAAGAATTCTGCTCTAAAAAAATTTCTCATAACAAAGTAAATAAGTGGTGGAGGAGGTTGATGGAGTATTGAGAGAGATACTTCGTTTTTACTCCAACCCTCTTGAATGCCATTTATGTTGACATCAGTAAATTTTTATGTAAATTCTTTTTCTTGAACCATTATTATTCCTAACATTTTGCATAGGTATGATAGCAGCATGTTTCCAACAGCTTAAGAATGGGGGAAGACTTTTTGCTTTGTGTGTGTGTGTGTGTGTTCAAAACAGCATGAAGGATCTGAAAAAATATTAGTGTGAAACTAGGAGAAAATTCTATCAAATTCTGATCAATTAAGAATATTGAGACAATGAAGACAAATGTCAGTGTGGCTGTGGAAATCTTACTGTGCCTGAGTATGAAACTGAAACCAAAATAATTAAATTTGTGTCATTAGTTACTTTGGTATAAATCTGCCTGAGACAATCTTGTGTGGAATAAGAGTGCCCTATGAATTCAAATTGAAATACGTTACTCTTATTTCTGAATAAGTTTGTGCGTAGAGATACTGAACTGAAATAAGTAAAAGAATTAGACCAATTTTGGTTCTGGTTTCTGTGTTTCCAAGTCATTTGACTAGAATGAATAGTCTAGGAATATATACCAGATCTTGCCAGGAGTGCGGGATTTCTATAATAAGAGTTATGCTCATTAATGACCAATAAAGTTAATTTCTTAACTTAAAAAAAGTTAATCTCAGAAGTTGATACTGAATGGATCTTTTAGACTGTATACTTGCTTCATAGTAAGTGGCCAGGACACTTAAATACCTTAACAGTTGGATAATTGACCTCCCAATAACACCACAATGGGATGCTAATAGTGTCAGGTGTCTGGTACCATAGAGTGGATGAACCACTGGTATTGAACATCAGAAAGATACTGTATAAAAAATACTACCAATGTCAAAGATGATAAAAACGGCCATTATTATACCGGGGCAGCAAGCTGAGCATTCACTTCTTCCTCCATAGTTCGAGTATATTTTGGAAAAAGTGCTCAATAGGTATGTTTTCCTTCTTGGATAATGCTTCAAAATGTTTTACAAAATTATTCCTTAGATATGGAAAAATTAGATCTCCTGAGATTATGGTTTAACATAAAATACACTTCCGAAGGAATCTTAGAACTAAATAGCAAAGGTTTATAGAAACCCGATTCCTTCGGAAGTGTATTTTAGAACTAAATAGCAAAGGTTTATAGAAACCCAAACTGATTTTCTTACAATTTGTTATATTGGATTTGACATAGTATTTATTTTCTGTTCTGTTCTAGGTTCCTATTCTTAGTAAAAAAGAGGATGTCTTTGCTTATTTAGCAAAATATTCTGTGCCACTACTGCGAGCAGCATGGCTGATCAAGATGACATGTGCCTACTATGCTGCTGTTTCCGAAGCTAAAATTAAAAAACGTCAAGCTACTGATCCAAATATTGGTAAATGAACAAGAATTCTAATTCTACCTGCATTGTAGTAATTGAATGGAACTGTTGTTTTTATTCAGTGTTCTGGTGTTGCTAGGGAAGTATGTAGCAAGGAATCATTTACATTTTTATTCTCCTGCTTCGCTTCTTCCCAAACCTTTAAAATATAAAGCACTGTAAGATATAAAATTTGCAATTTACAATTGCAATATACAATTACCCCTCCACCTGGGCAATCATATCCCAAATCTCTAATTACTTTATTAAAAAGGATGTACTGTATTTTCATCATCACCTGGTGATGTCCCTCCCGAATGCAGGGAGCTCTTCTGAAGGGCCTATAACCATTCAAGTTCCTCTTATTATCAAATTAAGGACTTATAAGGGCCAGAGGTTCTTGTATGCTAGGATGAATGTCGTCCTGGAGTGAATTGAATTGCTACTTTGAAAAGCTTCAAAATTAAATTTGTAAGCTTACATTTTAGGTATAATTATATTAAAATTAATGTGGGAGCACTTTTCATTTTACCAATGGGGGTTGAATATTGCCTTCTGGCACCAACCAGAAGAACTAGGCCAAGTACTGACTGTACCATATATGTGAACATAGAACTACAAAGAGCTTTCAAGAACAGCGAGAC